ATAAGTAATAATAATAATAATAATAATAATAATAATAATAATAATAATAATAATAATAATAATAATAATAATAATAATAATAATAATAATAATAATAATAATAATAATAATAATAATAATAATAATAATAATAATAATAATAATAATAATAATAATAATAATAATAATAATAATAATAATAATAATAATAATAATAATAATGATAATAACAATAATAATGGCAGTTATAGAATGCATAGTGTTTATAAATCACAATAACAAAATAAATTTTCAAAAATTTGTTTTTGATTAGGGAAAAATAAAATTTTAGAATGGAAAATAGTATCAGAAGAAAGGAGTGAAGAAATTAGTGAAGGACATTAGTGCAAATTAATTTTTCTTGAAATGGATTTCCAATTAGTTAATTAATTGTTTGGTAAATTTTATTAATAAATATATTACAATTACAGAGTGGTGAAAGTGTTTTGCATGTAGCAGCAAAGAGTTGTAACAGTGAAGCAGTAGTACTTATCTTAGAACATCTTTCTCAACAAATGTCACCTGAAGAAATTAAAGAATTTGTTAATGCTCGAACTACTCAGGTGATAATTTGTTAATGCTCGAAGTACTCAGGTGATAATTTGTTAATGCTCGAACTACTCAGGTGATAATTTGTTAATGCTCGAACTACTCAGGTAATAAACTTTCATTATTAGAAACTTGCTTATTAATTCTTTCAAGATTTTTTTTGTATTAAAATTCATGCAGTTTTGGAATACCTTTTATTTTAAATATTATCTAGAAAAAAAAATTTTTTTAGGATGGTCTAACAGCAGTACATTATGCTGCTCAGATTACCTCAGATCAAATACATTTCCCGGGTGAAGATGCAAAATTGATCAAAACTCTTATTGACTATGACGGTCAACCGGAATTACAAACATATAAGGTAAATTTAAAATTTTTAATCCAAATTTTAAAAATACTAAAATTTTGAAATTTTTAAAATTATGTAATTATTGTTTTTACATTGCTAAGAAATTGTTTTGCAATGAATACTGAAATCGCCATCATTTTCTTATTTCAACAATAAATAGTTGTAAAATTTAATATTCAAATTTCAAAATTTAAACAATTATTTATTTAAGTAAATAAAATTAGGCTATTTAATTAATTGTAATTTGGCTCTTTTGGCTATCTAGGATCAAGAAACAGCAATGCATTTGGCCGCACGATCAGGCAATGAAGCTGCTCTACTTGCTATTGTTGATAAAATTGGTGCTGGAGCGGTACAAATTGTTCAAAATAAGCAAACCAAGGTAATTTAAGCTTCTTCATATTACTTTTAATGAGTTAATAATTTCATTAATTATTCAAATAAGGAATTCATTGTTTTTTTTCTCTAATTATCCATATATTATTGCATTTTCATAGCTTTTTTAATAATTTATATTAATTAAATTGAATTAATTAAATCACTAATAACATGTATTTATTCATTTTCAAGAATGGTTGGTCACCGTTAATGGAAGCATGCGCTCTTGGACATTTTGGTGTTGCTAAAATTCTCTTAGAACATCATGCTCGAGTTGATGTTTTCGATGAGAATGGTCGAACGGCGTTACATTTAGCTGCTGCTAATGGTCATCTTAAGTTGACACAACTGTTATTGACCAGTAAAGCATTCGTTAACAGGTTCATCATATCAAATATATATATATATATATATATATATATATATATATATATATAT